CAAAGAAAAACCACTCATCAGTGCTGTCGCCATCTCCGATCAATCCCATCTACATGTCTACAAGCTGTATTCGCAGATTATTAAGTATTAGTGCCAAATATGAAACCCTAATGTGATGTGACTTAAGCAACTATATAAGCTCTTTATCTTTTTTAACTCCGCCACTCGTAGAGGAGTGATCAGAGCTCCTAGTAATGATTGAATTGGCGTTTTGGCCTAAACAGCACAAACTCATCACGCATCCAGAAAATGCATGCAAAGAGAACTTGTCGTTTTTCCCTTAGCTGAACATCAATCAGAGTCCTTGTCCATATATGTTTGGCCTCCATGTGTTCTGGGCATAATCGTTCTTCTTCCCCAAATAAACAAAACTCAATGCCAGTGTGCTCATTAAGCATAATCTGTAAAGGACAAGACAAATGTTTTTGTATTGAATGGGGGTATCTGAGCCACATGGGTTACATTCCTTGCTTTCATGGTTGCACCTTTTTGTTCCATTTGCTGTCTTAATGGAAGAAATGCCAAGGACCATGGATGCAAGAGAATTCCCTTTTTGAGCAATTCCAATGCATGCTGTGTGAACTCTCTTGCTCTAGCCAATATGTCCTCTAGCTGTTGTTATCACAATCTCTGGAATAATGCCCTCCTCAAAACTCTCAAAACTTATTATTTTTTATAGCATTTCGATGCCCTATGTTTTGACTTATGTGGCTCTCCTTTATGCTGCCCACGGATTCTTCTTATGCTCTTCCAAAAAACATTCTTTTGAAAAGATTGAAGTTTTATTTTGGGGGGGAGAAAGAGGGAAGTGATTGTTTATGGGCGGGTGAAGAGTGGAACAGCTTTTCTACGCTAGTGGTCTAAGTTTGACTCGATGAAGAAAGATTGTAACGTGAAACGACCTGCGGCCAAAGACAACATGGTACGACTTTTAGTGTCAGTTTGGGTGCTTTGTTCTGCAGGTGACTGGTTGGATGCGTGACATATAAAATTATTGGAGAGATTATTACCGAAATTCACTCTAATGAACTACATACAAGGCAATCGGATCTATAACAATTCTATTCACCATCAGAAGTTTATAATAATTCTGTTAATTATGCTTGAACTGTTCTTATTGGATAAATCTTGACATACCCTCATCATTTTCTCTTTCACTAATAATAACTGTATCGAACTCTTTGAGTACTCTACTCATCCCTAAAAGTTGCAATAGTCCTTGCCTTTTGATCATGATCGGTGACTAATTATCAGAGCGTAACTTGTCCATGCTCATGGGGTGGCTTTAAAATATTGCACTAGTAAGGTGAATGCAATTCGAATCATGAGTGAGGAAGACGAACACACTTGCTATCGACCAACCCCACAGGATTTTACGCAAACAAATTTTGCAAACCTACATTTCTAATACCCAAGTTAATTTTTAAGTGATGTTTCAATCTACCCTAGAAAAAGCATATCATTTAAAGAATGCACATGCGAGATATATATGCGTCATGCACTCTTTCTTCCCTTACTCTACTCTGGGTCCAAGGAACTAACTTGTTCTAGTTTGAGGAAGAAAATAAAACCTAATTGAGAAACTTTAGGATCATGTAATCTAATGATGCTTCGCATATATTGCGAAAATTACTCTTTAAAAACCCTAATGTCGGGGTCATTGTGACACGATAAGTCATTTATAATCCTTACCTTTTAGTGATTGCTTCCTCTTTATCATTAATAGATAAATCTTTCCATTTCAATAACACATGACCGATTTTCTCCATGGTTTTTTTGAAATACGACTTTTCACATATAAACATAAAGAAAAATATAGTATTTTTTTTGGGTGTAAGTTTTGCAGTAAATATCCAGTGCTTGGATGGTTGAGGGCAATCGATTGTGAAATGAAATTGAGGTATATAGTTGTGATCCCATGAATTAGGTGGCGAGGTCGAGTGGTCAATTTTGATGGGGTAGGGTACGCTATTTGCTGGGGGAGGGGAAAGCAGGGTTCAGTCGTTTTACGTGAGGGTACAAAAGGGGTATGTCATCACGTGTTTGCCTGCAACATGTTAATGAGTCCTCGCTGATATGTAGTGCCATATCGAGAATTCGACATAAGGAATATCCAGAGAGACTCATCCATCGGATAAGGTCCTATGTTTCTTGGATGTGAAAAAATCAAATGGAGGCGTGAGTGTTCACATGTGCTGCAGCTTGGGGCCTAGCACTGAATGAATTCTTGAGTACACCCAGCTTGTGTGGTGGAGGGCTCTCTTAAAATCTCTTGGAGAGATGGACCAGTTTAGATGCGCAAAAGCTGTCCCAAACGCCACTTGACCGCTTCACAAATAAAAGTTTATGTCTTCCTCAATCCCTTATTAGACGAAACTTGCTCCAACTGTGCCTTTGATTGGTACGTTACAAGTTGTGTACATCGCCTAATTAAAAACTTAATTAAATTTAAATATGGATGATGTTCATGCCTGTAACCCACCAATCAGAGAACTAATTGGAGAGAAGGTTTCCTCTAATCGGGGATGGAGGAAAACATTACCCGCGTAAAAGTGCCAAGAAAAATATAACCTTTCCAAAAATTCTTATTTCTTTCTTCTATAGTTCTTAAACATGCAATCATTGAGATTTCCTTAAACAGATCTCCTAAAAAGTTGTCGGTGTAATAATTCGTGAACATCTGAATGTGATAGCTCCTTTACGTAACTGAAACATGGGACCGGCTTCTATTTTTTGTGGGTATCGAAAAGTGTGGGTTCTTCTTTTCCATTCGAAAAATTATCATACCTGGACAAACCCATCCTAGAGAATATGAATGACCATATGGATAAGCTTTTTCCTGATTTTCTTTAATCTACATATATATGACATAAGTATACACTAAGAAACGATTCATTTGGTTTACAAAATCAAATAGATTAAGAATCAAATATCCGTACGAATAGGTACTTCATTAGAAATGGTTCTATAGTCAGTAAAAAATCTTAAGTTGTTCTACAAGATTTATCACACTTTGTTCATAAATGCAAATTAAATACTAGCTTTTGTTTTGCAATTATTTGTAAGTGAGAGACATTACACGACTTGGGTCGTTGATGGGGAATTTTTTTTTTTTTGTAGAAGTGGGACATGTGGAGTGAACATATATGCTTAAAGAAGCAGAAATTATTGCTCAATCGGGATACGATACGAAGCATGTGTGGATTTGAAAAATCTCCTTATAGTGAAAAGCAGCAAGAGAGAGAGGCAGAGAAGCTCAAATATCCTCGTTGGCTTGGAAAATGACTAATCCCGTTGTCCTTTGGATTCATGTGGAGATTTTGGCTTGAGCCAGATGGTGAAAGGTTTGGCATGAAACGAGACATGCCCATCACGTTCTTCTGGCCAATTGGAAGGAAATAGGGCAAGATATGGCCAATTTTTACCACTATTTAATTACTCAATGATGGAGTTGTAGGGAATTGATGAGAGGACTTCTGTTTTGTAGAGTAATGTTAAGAATTTTCCGAAGGATTTTTGGTGAATTTTCGCGCTAAATAAGTGGTTTGGCAAGATTGAGTTGAATGACCAAACAAGTGGGACTCCTACGCAAAAATTATGGACGTTCATTGTAATCTGAGAAATGCTAGAAAGAATTGCTCATGTAATCTTGCAAAGTCACAGCTTACTAGTGCTCAAAGTTTCGCAAAAAGTTTACTATTTTTAGCATCGATCTAGCTATTATGTTCATTGTTAATGGAATATGCGTTCTGAATGATTCACAGCTATCATGTTGTAATCCATAGAGAACTTTCAAATGTGTGCATAACAAACATTGCCTACGGAACTTTCACAAGTATGGATAGAGTTTAAGAATCTTTTCACACATTTACATGTTCATGCACAATTATAGGTACTGAATGTCCTGAGATCTCTACGGCACTCCTCCAGATCTCAATGTTGAGACCTAATGGTACCACCCAATCGATGAAGCCACAAGATTTATTGAGAGAGGGAGTCCTATTAGAGAGTTGGAGCAAGGGAGGAGAGGTGCGGAGAGGAAGAGATAAGGGAGATGGTCAAGAGCAGTGAATTTAAAGTTAGATCGAACTAGTCAGTTCAACCGGTTCAATCGTATATTGAAGGGTTGTCAAATCTGATCTCATTGTATATACCATTTTAGTTGAACATACAAACTATTTTATGTTGACCATCAAATGAAAAGCTGGCCGTTTTAAGTAGTTAAACCCTATACTGGTCACTCATCCAGTTTGGTCTGTTGTATAGTTTCAAAACATATTGCCCAGGAGAGAAGAGATAATTATGACGATGGAGATTCGGTGGTTGACCGGCGAGAAGGTGATGGCAAGTTGCTGGCAACAATGGCAACTCCGGCAATGATGTGGTAGTTGGTCATGTAAAGCGGCTAGGGTTTTGTGAAGAGTTTGTGTAATTTTCTAATGCGTAAAAAGACCGTACACAATTCTATTACAAAGTATTTTCCAATGAAGGAGCAACCTAAAGTTGAGTAGATTCGGACCTATTCAACTTTCTACCATTGAATATGATTCATTTGTTTGTAATATCTATCGCATTTACAATCCATCCCGTCATTCAATGTACCGATTTTACATGCCAGCATTAGTATACCTAGCAACACTCACTAAAAACATACAAAAATTTCAGTTGAAGGGGGGTATCATGGCATGCTGGGCTAAATTGTCCCCACAGCTGAAAGTGAGAACCTGCAAAACGGAGGACTGAGAAAAAAAGAAGAAACAAAAAGAGGAGATCACTGAACTGCCACAAAAATGATTTGTTCATGATATGGTGGCCCGTGAGTGAGCCAAAGCGTAACTGCCTCCCAGTCACTCGCTCCCACTACATGCCAAGACCCTTCCCCCAACTCCTGCATAGGGACAACTCCGTGGCCGGCTACTTCACATGCCACCAAAAAAATCCAACTCTCTTCTTAGCCCTCTCTCTCTCTCTCTCATGCTTATGAACTTCATTACCTGATAATACAAAGAAGCAGAAAAGGAGTATATAAGAAGTTAAGAACAGGGTTTTACAGTTATTACTAGGAGGAGTCTTTTGTGTGAAGGTCTGTTGAATTCCTGCTGGCGCTGCTGCGGCTGCTGCTGCTGCTGCTGCTTCTCCGGCCTTGTTTAATGCATTCCAGGTATTAGCATCACAACTGGAAAAAGGCTGATGTTTCTTTTTGCCCTTCAACGAAGTGTCTCTTTTGCCTATTCTTGACTAACAGCTAGGTTTCTCTTTGATTCTTGACTTTTTTTCTCCTGACTGATCAGTCCTTTTTTCACCCCTTTGCAAGAACCAAAAATACCCAGAAAGAAAAGATGAACTGTCCATTTCTTAGCTGATTCAAATCCAAGTTTTTTCCTTTTTTTTTTCGCTTTTCCATATTCTGGGTCGCTTCCCAATGTCAAGGTACCACTATTAGTCTAGTCTCTTTCTCTCTCTGTGCTCCCTCCTCCAGAAAATTTCTCAAATTCAATCTCTCTCTCTTTCTCTCTCTCTCTCTCTCTCTCTCTCTCTCTCTGACCACGGACCCATGATGCAATTCACTGAAACACCACCACCCCCACCTCAACCTCCATCCCTCCACCAATCACCAACACCATTGTTTTCTAGCCTCTCCATGAACAAGAACCAAGTGCACCGAACCCGCCCTTGGCCCGGCTTCCCGATGCCGAAGTCTTTGGGGAGCTTCGGCGACGCGAATTGCATGGAACAGTTGTTGGTGCACTGTGCAAACGCCATCGAGACCAATGACGCGACCCTCGCCCAGCAGATCCTATGGGTCCTCAATAACATCGCCCCGGCCGATGGCGACTCAAATCAGCGGTTGACGTGTGGCTTCCTCCGGGCCCTCATCGCTCGGGCTGCCAAGAACGGCACGTGCAAGATGCTGGCGGCCATGGCGAATGCCCAGAACTACGATAACCTGTGCAATGAGACGCATAAGTTCTCCATCATTGAGCTTGCGAATTTCGTCGACCTGACCCCATGGCATCGGTTTGGATTCACCGCGGCAAATGCCACCATAATCGAAGCAGTTGAAGGGTACTCGGTGGTTCACATAGTCGACTTGAGCACGACGCATTGCATGCAGATTCCTACTCTTATTGATGCAATCGCCAATCGTCTTGAAGGGCCCCCATTGGTGAAGCTCACGGTTGCCGGCGCTGTGGAGGATGCCCCGCCCATGCTTGACCTTTCGTACGAAGAGTTGGGATCCAAGTTGGTGAATTTCGCAAGGTCCCGAAACATACACATGGAATTTCAAGTCATTTCTTCAAGTTACACCGACGGATTCTGGTCCTTGATTGAACAACTCAGGATGCAGAAACTAATGTTCTCAGGAGGAATTGGTGAACCAGAAGCACTTGTTATAAATTGTCACATGATGCTTCACTTTGTGCCCGACGAGACCGTCCCGTTAATATCGGATTCCGAAGCAAACCCTAATTACCCCTTTGAGTCTTCGTCGGTATATTCTCCCCGGTGGACTCTTCTCAAGGCGCTTCGGTGCTTAGACCCGAACGTTGTTGTCTTAGTGGACGAGGATGCAGACTTCTCATCGAATAATGTCGCCTCGAGATTGCGGTCAGCGTTCAATTATCTTTGGATTCCTTATGACACGGTTGACACGTTCCTCCCGAGGGGAAGCAAGCAGAGGCAGTGGTACGAGTCTTACATATTCTGGAAGATACAGAACGTCATCGCGCAAGAGGGTCTTCAGAGAATCGAGAGGCTCGACCCGAAGAGCCGGTGGGTGCAGCGGATGAGGAACGCAGACTTTCGGGCCATCCCGTTTGGAGAGGATGCGGTCTCCGAAGTCAAGGCCATGCTCGACGAGCATGCAGCGGGGTGGGGATTGAAGAAGGAAGAAGATGATCTCGTATTAACATGGAAGGGACATAATGTAGCTTTTGCTACTGCATGGTTGCCTGCTTGATTAACCTTTTTCTTTTTGGATTTAGGCTTTAGTGCTATTTCGCAGCTTCTTAAGTAGTCATCGATTTATTTAACTCTGTGTTGACTAGCTAGTCCTTTGAACTTCTTCCAGAATTGGAAGACAGAGAGATGTGAGGGATCATTCAGCTGATACTTAGTTTGTTCCTGATCATAAATATATTGACTCTCTCTCTCTCTCTCTCTCTACTTGTTCACATGTTCGTGACTAGAAGACGACTGCATTAAGTGCTTGGAGACAAAACCTGATTTTTGGTGTGCTTTTTCTTTGACGAAGAGAAACGAGGTTGTTCTTCCCATCAACGTACGAGAAAAGCAATTTGTAAATCGAGCCCATCACGATATTTCTTATCGTGGAGGCAGATGTCCAATCTAGAGCGCTCATTTGCGATGTATACATGCTAAGCTTGAATTTTCATTTTTGATTGCTGTTTCTTAAGATGCTTGAGCGTGAATAGCTACAATTGATGAGTCTCAGAAATCAGTTTGTTGTTGCTTGAATCTTACATGTCCATCTCATCTGGTCTATGTCGAATTGTTTTAGTCTTAAAGCTCACCTTTCTTTGGTTGAAATCTACGTCGAAAAATCACATGTTTAGTATGAAGTTTACTATCTTTTAAAGTTCTTGATTGAATGATTAAGTTCTTCTTTCGTTCTACTTTCTTTTTGTTGAGGTTCTTCTGCATTGCACATGATGCCACCTCCTATAATTTTGTTTAATGTTTCTATATTCTTTTGGAAGTTATTTCAAGAGAAGAGAATAGTAAAATTAAAACTATAGATTAAAAAAGATGAAAATAGTCGTGGGAGATATGTAAATGTTTAGTCACTCCCCGATCACTTCTTGTGCTATCAGTCTTCCCAATGTGCATTTGAGTCATCATTCGTCTTGTCAAGTTTGGTATGGAAGATGTAGCACTTCCTTTTACTCTGCGAATGCAGCTCATTGAATTCCTTTTTGTTATGATACGAATAATGAAGTTATTGAATCCATTTGCTAAGCAAAATACAGCTTGATCGTAATTGATAGAGAGAACCAACATAATCGATACCACTTTTGATAATTAGATAAATTCTTCAACGAAGCTTAAAACGTTTTGCGCTATCTCAAATAATATCACGCTCACTTCTTCTGTTTCATTATCGACCGCGAATTTAAGTATGTACCTATTTGCTGAACTTTTTTCTCCCAAGGAAACTAAATGTTCTAGTTCTCATTTTTTTGAAGAAAATAAAAGATTTTAAGTAGAGATGCGAAATGCAAAAAATTACAAAACTTTTATTTTTACTTTTGTTCATGATGCCTTACGCAAATTTCAAATAGGTCATCTTTCCTAAATTCTCCACATCCGGGTTTTCTAGTGGGTGACGATCTTTTTCTTGCATTTGTTACACGTTTTGTATCAAGGCTTGCTCTCATTTTCAATGGTTAGTGCCTTGAAAGAAGGGAAAATGTCAAACGACGTTATAAAGTGGAGCCGTTTTCTAAAGAAAAAAAGGTTTAGAGTTGACCTTATTTTAGATTAAGACTTGAAGTGGCCAAGTTAGTCTTAAAAAGGCCCGAACTCGCCAGCCGGCTTGTTCCGGCAGCCGGAGCAGGGGCAGTTTTGCCAAAAATTTGCAGCTGGGGGTGAAAAATATGTAAAATCAAATTGGATTCTGATTAGGGTTCTTCGTGGATCTTCTCCTTCTTTTCGAAGTTTGCTCTTCGACTCTCCGTTTGGATAGTCACCATCATTCTTGGCTCGGTGATCCCACCAAACTTTCTTTCCCATGTTCGCTGTTTGATTCTTCGATCTTCGCTCTTTGTGGATTTTGTATACGTAGTTTATTACGAAGGATGCACGTAGTCTGTGGAATAGTGAGATCGCTACAGGACGACCACGGGTTTCTTATTCGGACGTGGTGTGCACACGAATGGAAGCATTGTGCGTGCGATTGTGTGGTCTCTTTATTGAGTCTCCCTTCAGAAGGAAGCAGGAATGGAGCATGTTAGCCCATCTGATCCTTTGTCCTCTCATCAAGAGTGCTGGCGGACGATCCTGCTTCCATGAACACGAAGATCGTTGATGGGGAAATTTGGAAAATTAAGACCACAATGAACATGAAGATCTCCGCATAATCAATCATTCACGACCAAATGCATAACAACAGCGAACATCTCGTTATTTTACAGACTACATACATCCATCTAAGGATTATGCAGACAAAATGCCCGAAGAGCGAGATGGAGAATCGACGGAGTATTGAAGAATCGAAGAGCGGATCTGGGAAAGAAGGTTCAGTCGGATCACCGAGCAAAGAACGATGGACACGATTGAGACAGATAATTGAAGAGCGAGCCTGGGGAAAAAAGAAAATTTCAGGAAGAACCCTAATCAGAATTCAATTTGGGGTTTATGGTTATTAGGACTTTACACATTTTTTACCCAGTTACAAATTTTGGACAGAATTCCCCTTGTTCTAGCCATCGGAACATGCCAGCCAATGAAGATTTGGTCGGCCGACGAGTTCGGGTATTTATTTGAGACTAACTTAAATCACTTTAAACTCTTATTTGAGACAATGTTTACTCTGAGCCCTATTATGAATAAATCTTCAGTTGAATTGTTGGTGACTTTTTGATCTTGAAATTCTGTTTAAACATTGCATAAATCTGAATCCTTTGATTACGACTAGCAGCAACTAATGTGTGAAGGAAATCTTGTAAACGCTTCCTTTTTTTTTTTTCACCTTTTCTCTTCAGGCCTCTGTACTTGCCTTTGCTTTTTTTTTTTCCTTTAATTTTTATGGCATTTGCCTTTTTGTATCTTGGCTATTTTTCATCCTTTTTTCAACGAACATTGAAAGAGTGCATTCGATGATAAAACCTAAATGACATCAAGTGGGTTTAACAAGAAACCATAGTATGCTAAAAAGATGTCGGCTGAAAGAGGTCTTCTTACATCGTTTTTGTTTCACCAGAAAATGCTCCCGCGGTGAAATATAATTTACCGAAAGTCGTTCTTCGATTCTTAATGAAAGGAGACTGAGTTCTAGACCCAATTCCGGACAGGAGCAATCCAGGCGTGAATAAAGGACTTGATATTTACAGAATATTCAGACGAAACCATCCAATTGCTGGTGGTGTCCAAAGTTCACAAAGACCTAAACAACTACAGCTAGGGAAACTGAAAGTGCGAAACTGGAGAGTAAAGACTACAGCTATGGAAACTGAAAGTGCGAAACTGGAGAGTAAAGACTACAGCTATGGAAACTGAAAGTGCGAAACTTGGAAGTAAAGATAAAAGACAACATTTGTTTTGTTCATGTGTGCCGGGGGGGTCTTCTGTTGATAATCAGACGCTATTTATAGCACAGACTTGGTAACCGTTCTTGGTGTTGTATCCGATATCCATCGTTGATTTTATCTTCACCGTTCATTTAATGACACCTGTTTATCAACTGTTATCGATCTTATCTTTTGTATGAAGTGATAACCGCTCTTGAGCCCTTTTAGTCTCTGAAACGATAACCGTCATCGAGCCCATCGGTTCTAAGGCTGCAACCGTCATCGAACTTTTCTCCGTTTGACATCTGTCTCTCGGGATGATAACTGTCATCGAACTTTCTCTCCGTCTGACATCTGTCTTTCGGAGCGATAACCGTCATCGAGCCTTTTCTTCGTTTGACACCTGTCTCTCGGGATGATAATCGTCATCGAGCCTTTTCTCCATTTGACACCTGTCTCTTGGGATGATAACCGTCATCGAGCCTTTTCTCGGTTTGACACCTGTCCTTTAGGACGGTAACCAACATCGAACTTTTCTCCGTCTGACATCTGTCTCTCGGGATGATAACCGTCATAGAACCTTTTCTCCGTTTGACACATGTCTCTTGGGGTGTTAACCGCCATCGAGCCTTTTCTCCATTTGACACATGTCTCTCGGGACGATAACCGTCATCGAACTTTTCTCCGTCTGACATCCGTCCACCAGAAATAGGGACCTTCGTCGAGCTTTTCTGACTTGACATCCATCATCCTTTTCATCGATGTTATCGATGAAAAGCACCTTTGGCACTTGGACATCTGTCTTTTCTGGAGCAAAGGCCTTCATCAAATCTTTCCTAGCTTGAGATTCGTTCTTCTCCTTATCGACATCTTCGATGAAAATACCTTCAGCATTTTTATCCCCATCCATCTGAATTTCAAATTTCCCGCTTATGACTGCCCGTACCTACTAGCTGCCATTTAGTACAGGTGACATCATCTCTTGTCGTTTTATTCATATATCCTAAGCGTCGATATCTCTAATTAATTTCAAGTGTCAACAGTTTTCAAATCTTGCCCCGATGTAAGAATGATACAGGACTAGGATGTGAGAGACTTTCGTTCGTCCTCGAGGAAGTCGACGCGATCAAGTAGTTTCCGAATTTGATGGTTTTCGAAACACCTTATGACTCCTTGCCCCAGTGCGGGGGTGGCCATCGATGTTGTTTAAAGAAAAGGATGTTACAGCCCGTGGTAAATGCAGCTAGCACGTAATGGTAAGAATTTGTGGGCTCAATTTGGCTTGGTAATGGTCAAACGTTGTTCTTGGGATTTTGAAGTGAAGTGCCATTCCTCATCTCGGTCACATTCACGTGAGTACTGAACGCAAGTAACACAAGCAATGGATAATGAAAGAAACCAAAACCCAATGTGAGCAACCGAATGAGGGGAAACAACCAATAATTAATTAGACCTGTTAAATGGGTGGGTCGGGTCATAAATGGTCTGACCCAAATTGATCCATTAACCTGTTTATGATCAATTTATTTGTAATGTAAATATCTCGATCCATACCGGACCCGACCCATACCCAACCCATACCCGACCCGATCCATATTACTAAAACACTTCTATATTTAACTTAATATAGGAAAACTTATTTCTTATGATTTTTAAAAAAAAAATTATACTACTAAAACATTTTCATACAATACAAAGCTAGTAATCAATTTTTAAAATTGAGGTTTTGTTTGTTTCATGAAAAATGCAACATTTTTATAAAATATTTTTCATGAAGTCATTTTCCAAGAAAATAAAAAAATTTCCAGTGTTTAGCTTAAACCTGAAAATGAACTAGAAAATATTTTCCGATGTTTAGTATATAAATTGATTTTACTTCATGCAATCATTTTAATGATTTTTAATAATT